AAATAAATAAATAAATAAATAAATAAATAAATAAATAAATGATCATGGTGTTGAATATGTGTTCCCCTCAGCACCACTTTCTGAGTTCACCACTCTAAAATGAATCAGAAATATTGTAAAAAAGAGAGGCACTCAAATTCCCAAATGCCATTGTTAGTTATATTGAAAACTTTAGCAGAACAAACAGGAACATATCTCCTCTATCCAGGTCCTGGTGTAGGTGATCCACCAAAGGTGCCAAAGATGTTCCCTTCTCATAGGTAAGCCTGATGGGCCTAAGTAATCTATTTCATGTAGAAGTCCCTTGAGCTGGCATGCTACCATGTGCTATAGAACCTTGTCCAAGAAAAGTGATTCAGATACTGGCTGGTAATTATTCAGTATAGCACAATTCAGAATGTGTTTTTCCCCCAGTGATGGCCTTATCATGATCTCTTTTATACAGGACCCTGTCTTGTTGAGGTGAGGCATGCATTAGTCCCCTTGCCCAATTAAACTACCTCATTATTAGCTTGTATGAGTATAGAAGTCTTACATACAAGTCTTCAGAAGTACCCCTGAGCTTGCTTACTTCAGAATACTTTTATACTCCTTGTAAATATGGATATAGTATCTGCTTGTTATTGATTGAGCAGTGCCAGGCAACATCCCTAGCTCATTAGTGAGAGCCTTACCCAAACAGCAGCTCTTGATTATTTGTTGTCTAGCAAATAGGTAAACCAATAAATGTACCCATTTGAAGCTGTCTCTCTGAAAATACTCAAAGGGAACTTCAGAAGTCAAACCTTGCTTCTTCTATCCAGGTTATTAGATTTTGTTGTGCAGGAGCATATTTCTTTTCCCTGTATTTGATTTTCAGTGCTGGAAAGTCAAGTCAACCTTGTTGAAAGGCATGTTATGTTTTCGAAGAATTTATTTTAATTTACCATAGTGCAATTGTATTTTGATATTCAGAAACCAGATTAATACATTTTAACATTTTTTTGTTGGATTCTGAACTCTCTTTCTGCTTTCCTGCTTTTGGAAAATATAAATTGAAATGAATCAGAGTTCCTGAGGGATTTAGGTCTGACTTAAAAATAAAGCCCTGCATTGAAGATGCCTTTCATTATGTTCTCAGAAAACCAAAACCGGACTGCACAGCTATAAATTCATTTTCATAGGACAACATATAAAGTTGGGCTCCTAAAATTGAAGAATCTACATAAAGTGCTGGAGAATTTTTGTACAATTTAATTTCTGTAAATTAAAGACTTAATAAATCTGGATTAGAAGAAAGTTTACTAAGAAGAAATAACAATTCTTGTTACTTTTGCTGTAAATATCCAGCACCCACTATTTAGTTATGTGTGCCTAACTAAGTCGTTGTAGGTCATCACCTTTCCTGGCACAGGCATCTCAGACCTCTTTAAGAGCCAACAGCTGATTTGGGCAAAGCAGGGTCGTTCAGCTTCTAATGAAGTTGCAAAAAGGATACTATAACCTTCTCCTCCTCACCATTAAGGTTGCAACAAAGATTTGTAATAGGGGTTCTGCTTCTGATGGTTGCAGTCTTGCTCACTAGTGGCAAAGTGGAAATGTTATCCCTCTTGTATCCTGATCAGAAGCTGAACAACCTCCTTCACTCAGTCCAGCCACTGTCTCTTAAGGTGGGCTGGTGCAGTATTTATATGATTTAAGACTATATAGTCTTATTGAAGAACTCGAACACTGTTTCCATCCTAAATATCTCGGTGTCACCTTAGATTGAACACTAACATTTAAGAAACACTGTATGAACACCAAGCACAAAGTACCTGCACGCAATAACATTATGTGGAAACTTACTGGTAGCACATGGGGTGCAGACCCAAAACTAAAAGGAACATCAGCCCTGGCCTTGTTTTATTCAACTGCTGAGTATGCCTGCCCTGTTTGGCATTTGGCATAAGTTTGCCTACGTGAAGAAGGTGAATACGGCACTGAATTAAACATGCAGAATAATCACAGCATGTCTCAAACCTACACCTCTTGATAGATTCTATAAGCTAGCTGGCTTATAGGGTGTCTCAGACCTACACCTGTTGATAGACTCTATAAGCTGATGTGCAATGGGAAGTTGCTGCTAACTGTGAGAGAAATAAGGCTGAACACTGTGAAAGCCACCCACTTTATGGCTATCAGCTCCTTCCAGTAGACCCAAATCAAGGAAAAGCTTCATGAGAACCACCACTCCTCTTAATGTTCCCCCAGCAACAACAAGGTTATCCCTCTGGGCAGCTAAACCAGGACATCCCAATTGGATGGCCCCCACCAGGGTCTGCCTCCAAGGGAAAACCAAGCATAGTCAACTTGGAAGTCCCTGAACAGACTCAGAAATGGAGTGGGCAGATCAAAAGAAAACCTGGCAAAACAGAACTACCTAGAAGAATATTCCACTTTGTGAGACTGTGGAGCAGAACAAAACAAGTCCACCTCTATATGCTTGCCCACAATGCCCTGCCTCATGCACAGAGGAAGAATAGTTTAAAGTTGCAGAGGAAGAGTTGTTTAAAGTCTGGTTTTTGGTCAAAAAAATTTTAGCCACTTGTGCTCCCTCTATTTTATCAATTTATACTTGTTTATGCAATCCTTTTGACATGATATAAATACATTGAATATGGAGCAGTTCTGTATATGTAACGGTCGGTTATTAATCTGTAACTGAAATACTGGGTGCCTGGCACTAATAATAGGTAGCATTAAAATGTACTATTCTACCTTATTTCAAAATCATAAGAATCCTTTATCGGGGATATTTGCAATAAAATATACAAATCACTGTTATAAAATTAAAAAACGTATCCATAAATTATTTGGTCTCCTTCCAATTGTTAGTCCTAATTATAATTATATCTAACTATATCTATGGAATTAATGGGAATCTAAGGTTCACATGGATTCAGTAGGTCTGCTTTACTAACTGCAATTACAGTTAAATTCAAAGTTAAACTACAGTTCATTATGAACTTAGGAGCCAGATATCACTAAACATATTCTGAAATTGTCTACTGATTTCTCTGTGCTTTTTAAAAATTATTTAAATCCCTAAATATTAACGCTCAAAGACCCGGATGCATAGTTTTATTACATCTGAAGAATAAATGTAGATTTGGCTTGAAATCACCCACCTCAACATTCAAATTTCTCACTAACTCGGTAGAAAAAGAAAAATGACAACTTGTAGCAAAGTGTTAGCATGTCTGTAGGAGCCCCCGGTGGCACAGTGGGTTAAACCCCTGAGCTGGCAGGACTGAAGGTCTCAGGTTCGAATCTGGGGAAAGGTGGATGAGCTCCCTCTATCAGCTCCAGCTCCTCATGCGGGGACATGAGAGAAGCATCCCACAAGGATGATAAAAACATCAAATCATCCAGGCGTCCCCTGAGCAACGTCCTTGCAGACGCCCAATTCTCTCACACCAGAAGTGACTTGCAGTTCGTCAAGTTGCTCCTGACACGACAAAAAAAAAAAAAAGCATGTCTGTATGTGTGAGAAAAATTTTACCATTTTTATTGCTTGCAATGTTATGGGGGTAGAATATTGTAAGTCACAGGAGGCAATTAACTGCTGACAATGTCCATTTATTGGAGGAGAGCCCAGATCACAGCTTTAAAGTCTGTGTTCCAAGGTTGTTGGAGGTCAATCAATATACGTTTATTTTGCCGATAATTCAGATTTTTATTCCTATGCATGGTTGTTTAGACAAGGCCTAGTGCACTGCTTTGCCTGGGGGCCTGGAATGGCATTAAAAGTGCACGTGGTCAGGTGGGCTTGTTAAATAGATATTCACATTATACAGGGTGTTTGAAAAAGAAAGATCTGATTTGAAATTTAACTAAAAGTGCAGCTAAACTGTAGAATTAATGCATGTTGACACTGCTTGAACTGCCAAGACTCAATGCTATGGATGCCTGGGAGTTGCAGTTTAGTAAGGCAGCAGTGTTCTTTGCCTGAGAAGACTTAAAACCATGGAAAACTACAACTGCCATAATTCTAGCATTGAGTCATGACAGTTGCAGTTGTGTCAAACTGCATTAATTCTACATTGTAGATGCACTTTAACTATAAGATTAGTACATTAATAGTGTTAAAGCGGTTCAAACATGACTCTAAATTCATACTGTCAGCCATGTGAACCTGTTAGAGAGTTAAGATCTGCAAGTGTGGTTGGTGGAAATGAGAGACAGGGCCTTCTCTGTGGTGACCCCTCGGTTGTGGAATTCCCTCCCCAGTAATATCAGACTGGCCCCCTCTCTCCTGGTGTTCAGAAAAAAGTGAAGACCTGGCTTTGCAATCAGGCATTTGGGTAGTGCAATATAAATCAGCACAATGTATCACGCAAATAATGACCTTAGGATTTGATCTTATGTTTTAACAGTTTTATGATATTTATATGGGTTTTTTTGTTTGTTTATTGCATTGATGTATTTTATGTTGTGGAATATGTGGTATTGAATATTGCCATTATGTACGTCGCTCTGAGTCCCCTGCAAGGGTGAGAAGAGAGGGATAGAAATAGTGTAAATAAATAAATAAATGTTGGGATGTTGTAGGTTTTTTGGGCTGTATGGCCATGTTCTAGAAATATTCTCTCCTGACATTTCGCCTGCATCTATGTTGGACTGGACCCTTGTCATACAATAGATGAAAAATGAATGGTTCTCTTAGAAACCTATTCCCTCCAAGTCTCACTCCTTTTTAATTTCTTGTTTATTCCATAGGTTATGGTCACACGGTGCCTTTGTCTGATGGAGGGAAGGCCTTCTGCATCATTTATTCTGTCATCGGCATCCCCTTCACGCTGCTCTTCCTGACAGCAGTGGTGCAGCGCATTATAGTCTATGTCACCAGGCGGCCTGTGCTGTACTTCCATATTCGCTGGGGTTTCTCGAAGCAGATAGTTGCCATCATCCATGCAGTGATCCTGGGCTTTCTTACCATCTCCTGCTTCTTCTTAATCCCAGCTGCAATATTTTCTGGCCTTGAAGATGACTGGAACTTCCTGGAATCTTTTTACTTTTGCTTCATTTCTCTGAGCACTATTGGCCTTGGTGACTACGTTCCAGGAGAAGGTTATAATCAAAAGTTCAGAGAGCTGTATAAAATAGGAATAACATGTAAGTATCAAAGTTATCATTACCAACAAATTTAAAATAACGCCAAAGTTTCATTTTGTCTACACTTTGGAAACTGTTACCAAATTCCTCTTATGTGTATGTGTGTGACTTTTTAGGAAATGCATGGCATCAATGTGTTATTTCCAAAATTCTATTTATATGTCAAGAAACAATATTTTTTTCATTCTGGCAGAGTCAATGTCAAACACTAGCATATTCCAGATCACAGCTTTAAAGTAAATTTCATCTTCTATAGATTTCCTGGAACCAATTAAGTAATAATAAATACAGCATGACCAGGTAATTTAGTGTTATTTGTAGTTGCTATTAGCTTGTATCTTGTGACTTGTTAGATTTTGCTCAACTGTGATTCTCATCAATCTTAGCCAGCATAGCCATTGCTGACAAATGATGGGATGTACAGTCCAACAATATTCAAGTAAGTCATTTAAGGCCCATATGCTGAAGAATTCAAAGTAAACACCAGGTTACCGAGTCTCAGATAATATATATATTTAATTTATTTATGTAGGCAAATATTTCTATCCCACCCTTTGGCTGAATATTTCAGAGTGACATGCAATAAAAATGATCAGATAAATTCAAAATAATAGCAATAATTACAATAGCTTTTAAAAGACAGACCCTATTAAACAATTAACAAATTAAGAGACAGATTAAAAGTTGAAAATGAAATTGTGTATGCAAGAGAAAGTTTGTAAAATCAATTATATCTCAAAAACTTTTGTAAACAACTAATCACACTAGAGAAAAAAAATCCACTTAAAATCCAGTTTCTGCCTCCTGTAGAATTCTGGGGTTTGTAGTTCAGTGAGGCTGTTAAAGGCTCCTCCCTTAACTACAAACCCCAGAATTCTGCAGGAGGCAGAAACTGGATTTTAAGTGGATTTTTACTCTAGTGTGATGAGGCCTATATGTTTTAACCAGATGCTTATACAACACCAAAAAATGTTGCTAATAAGCCTTCCACCACAGAGAAAGTTTTCTCCCATGCCCTCACACAGCATGTTACTCTGACTTATGGCACACAGAAGAGGACACTTCCTAGATAATTTTATTTTGGAGAAGGTGAATAGCCAGGTCCCGAATCCTATTAACAGCCCCAACTATATTAGACATGTTTAATGGTAAGCTAAATCTCATTGATTTTGTGAGTTTATTCTAATTGGGACTCCCAATAGGATCCAGGCAATTCAGGGTTTTGTGTTTTTTTTTCTCTTCTTCAGGCTGACCAATGAGATGGGCTTTTAGTTGAAAACAGACCACAGCTAGCACTTTATACATACATACATACATACATACATACATACATACATACATACATACATACATACATCTGGGGTCCCATTGCCTCAAAATGCAGTCACAGTCTTAAGTTTTTATGGGAGTTTTGACAAGGTTGAACAAATTTAAATAAGCTACCTCATTGACAGTTACTTACTGTTTATTTAAATAGGATGTTGAAATATAGAGACTGTATTTCTGAATGTGAGGTCCCTTCCACACAGCTCTATATCCCAGAATATCAAGGCAGAAAACTCCACATTATCTGCTTTGAACTGGAATATATGACAGTGTGGACTCAGATAACCCAGTTGAAAGCAGATATTGTGGGATTTTCTGCCTTGATATTCTGGGATATAGAGCTGTGTGGAAGGGCAGTTAGATGCTGGAATCTGAACAGCTTCGAATTCAGGTTTCCTGCAGGCATTTAGTTTTACATTGTACAATGCAGCATTTTAAATTAGATGGGCCATTCCTCTGATCATGCAAATCTGCTCTGACAATTTTGTGGTTCATCCATTGGCTGAAAGCACCACATGCACAACTACCTATCTTCTGCCTCACTTTCTCAGGCAGTACAGTCCTAAGTCAAAAATGTACCAAAACTGGGGTTAAAATGAGATGCAAGATTCTGGCAGAAATGCTCTTCTACTGGCAGAATTAGCTTCTGCCAGCTCATGTCAGAGGTCTGTCGACAAAGCAATCTGCTGGCAGAACTACTGTGCTTCTAAGAAATGCTAACAGAAATGCAAAAAAGAAGATATAAGGAAGGAAGGAATTGACTTACATTAATCTAAAGCTCCTTAAACCAAGGGATACAGCCACAGAGCTTGCATAAATTTGGGGAAGAGAGAGGGTACAAGTAATTTTCAGAACCCCTAGACTGAGCAATGTTTGGATTGTTTAGCTTGACCTGTGTTGGCTCAACTGGCCTTCGGCATCTTTGTGTTTGGTCTGTATTGGAGCCTTCTTTTTGTTCTCTGTGGTCATGGTTAAAACAGATCCATCACCTGGATCATGAAATTTCTGATCCCTCTTACCAGCAACTTCAAACTCCTCCTGGCTTATTTTCAATAGTAACTTGCTCCCTCTGCTGGCATCAGCCTAATAGATAATCAACACATTAACTAACTATCTATACAGAGCAAACCCCAAACAGAGGGCCCTTCTACACATCCCTATATCCCACAATATCTGCTTTGAACTGGGTTATCTGAGTCCACACTCAGATAATGTGGGATTTTCTGCCTTGATATTCTGGGATATAGGGCTGTGTGGAAGGGCCCAGAGTTTTTCCTTTAAATGAAAAGTAACTTAGGGAGCAAGCATGCTTTAGTGCATTGAACATTGGACTGAGAAGAGCAGAGTTTGAATTCCTGCTCAGCCAGGGAAACCCACTGAGTGACCTTGGACAAATCATACCCTCCAACCTCAGAGAAAGGCAAAAGCAACCCCTGAACATATCTTGCCAAGAAGACCAGTTCACCTTAGGGTTGCTGTAGGTCATTAACAGCTTGAAGGCACACAACAGCAAAAAGCTTTAACAGTTTACAATGTTGAATGGAAGAAAAGTGGGAGAAAAGAGGCTTCTCTTTGGTCTCCAATGAGATTATTTCCTCATGAGTTGATTTTCCACAGAGGACTCGGAGCATGTGCCAATAAGGTCAAAAAGACTGATGGGAGAAAGGATGGATTTTCTTTCACCATTTCTCAATTCAGTTTCAGCTCTCAACATTATTTTAATTCATTTATGCATTCAGTTTTGCCTACTATGTAATTCATATTCCTTTACCAGGAAGGCTTTTCAACAAGTCCTACAAACATATCAAAGTGAACAATTGCAGTTTCATGTGTCAGGTATGTTGGAAACATGATTGGCAGTTGCACATATCTTGTAAACCCACCTAGTGTAGTAGCAATCATTTTAAGAATTACCTGTTTCAAATCCCTGATTAGTTATGAAACATGCTAGTTGACTTTGAATACATCACTTTTTTACAACTTTGGAGAAGAAAGAGTGGGAAAAAATTAAACCAAATCCTTGTATTAAACACAGTAATGGTATAATAATTTAAACAGTACACAAGACTTTGGATGAATTCAATTTGCCTAAAAACACACCTGTCTTTTATAGATGTAGCTCAAAGGTGGATTTCTGCATGATATAATTCACTATTCACTCAAAGCATTTAACCCATTTCCAGTTAAGAGTGCTGCTGCATCGATTTTACAAATATTTCAAGCATATTTCTATTCCTTCTTAGGTTATCTGTTGCTGGGCCTCATTGCAATGTTGGTGGTTCTTGAGACTTTCTGTGAACTTCGTGAACTCAAAAAGTTTAGGAAGATGTTCTATGTGAAGAAAAACAAGGAAGAGGACCAAGTACATATAGTAGAACATGATCAACTCTCCTTCTCTTCAATTTCAGACCAGGCAGCTTCCATGAAGGAAGATCAGAAAGTCAATGAACCTTTTGTGACTCTTCAACCTGCAGTTAATTGTGATGGCTGTATAAACTAAACATGGGCATCTGTTGCCATCTCTACAGTGCACTTAACATTCTTGCAGTTAGAACTAGCAACATTAATGAAACTCTAGTGGCAGGAAAGCTATGCTATATTATCAATAATTCATTTTTCCTTGAATGTTTAAAGGTATGTGGGACAAACCGTTTTCTTTAGCCAGATGTAGATTCTAGAAACATGGTGCAGATGGGGACTCCTGAATTCATCATATAACATGGAAAATAACTTGGTAAGGCTAAAGGACAATTATCAGTTATCTAATTCAGGTGTTCTCTGTTTGAGATTGACACATTTGGATTCCTTAGATGATGTCACAGGTGTCATCACATAGTTGCAGAAATGTTTGGGTGCTGGGATGACCTAAGCACCAATTTCTTGGCAAGGACTGCTTATGAAACTAAAAGGCCAGTTACTTGCTCAAGAATTTGCAAAGGTGGGGTGGGAGTTCCAAACCCAAAACCACACGTTTGAACCTACAGGTGTCTTCCTCCTTTTCAGGATTTCCCCCCAACTCTCTTTATTGCTCTCTGAAGTGCAAACTCCACAAAATCTTTTCAACTCTCATCAAAAATACACAAGTTCCAGCTCTCTTCAGCTGGGATTCTCAACATTGTGGAGTATTGCGGACATTATATTGTACTTCGGACACTCTCTGTCAAAGTGATCAGGGGCAGAAATGGAGAAAGTGATCAGATCAAATAGCAAGGCCCTCTTTTGGTAAGGTTTGTACCTTTTTCTTTTAGAGTCACACTTGAATCATGATAGATCTCTCCCTCCTAAACCCATTATTTATTTTCTTACACATGTAATCGCCTGCAAGGGCTCTTAATTAGGATTTTTCTGTCACCCTCTCTTCCCTATCATACCCAACCATCCAATTCCATCTGTGTAGCTGTATTGTCTTGCTTCTTCTCACTCCCATTTCTCCAACTTTCCCCAGGTAGCCATGTAGTCGTTCCCTCAAGCAGGCAGCATTCTGCCTCTTTTAACAAGTTAGTATATAAAAAAGCAAAATATGTATCAGCTGCTTTCCTCCATATTCATTCCCCTGCATCATATCTATAAATATTATGGCAAACCAGTATACAGATGCTGGGTGGTTATGAGTGGCATGTTTTTCAGTACTCTCTGTAAACAAAGCAAATATTTTATTTTTTAAAAAATAAGAAAGGGCTGGTGAATTTTGCAAGCACAAAGGGGAGTGTCAGCGGACACATTGCTCCCCATGGATACCAGGCTGGGAAGCTCAGTCCTTGGTTCATCGTCTCCTTCCAAAGCATATGTTCCTAGTTGACAAATGAGAATGGCAAGTGTTACATCTTGTCTGGGTGCATAAATGGAAAGTGAAGTCTTTAAAATAAATCATGTTTATGTAAGGGCAGCTTGTTGAGACAAGACCTGCACAAGAAAAGCAGGAATAGAACTCTTGACAGCTCTCCTGTGAGTTCACTCAAGTATGGGAGAGTGCTCAGTTGGTTGTGCCTATTCTTGTACCATGTAGAAGCTTAAAATCCTGACCAAGTGCATTGCTTCAGTTCTGGGTAGCTTTTTTACTGTGATTCTGGAGCTCAGCTACTCCCTTCAGTTTCTGGCTAAGTCAGGATAATGACAAACAGGTATTCTAAGGTGTGATGGAATGTATCTTGAAGATCTATTTGCTCAGTGCCAAACGCACTGTGATTGTATTTCTGTTGTCAATCATTAAATATATTCCCATTCAGTAGGCATTACTGAGCAAGAATTCTATAGCTGGGTGCTTTCCTTCCGGCCTTAAAAAATAATAAAAGGGTGTTTTACAACTGATTTCAATGGATATATAGGATCAGGGACCCATAAACACCAGCATATACAGCACTGCAGGCACAACATAGGGGAAAGCCATCTTCCTTAGCATTTACCCACAACCTTTTGGCTCCAATGTTACCCATAGGCATTGATTCACAAACCATTTGTTGTCAAGTGGTTTCCGAATTATGGTCCTATCTGTTAAAAGAAGTAGTAATTGAGCCAAATACTGAAATAGCTAGATTTCTATGAGAAGACAAAAATACTTGAAACTGTATCATCGAAAACTCTGTATATTAATTTAGTCAATAATAACTAGTGTTTGTTAATAGATTTTATACCTTTATTAGGAAAGTTGACTTTCTTGACAAATGTGCTTTAAATTTTACGTGAACTGAAATTTATATTTTAAGAAAACAACTCAGAGATGCTTCACAAACTTGGTTTGAGTTATCGTGTATTTGCATGTTCTCATCAAAGTGGGTATTTTTGTACTGCTTATGTTGGTTCTGTTTACAATGTTTAACCTTCATTTGTGTACATAAATATATAATATATTTATATACTGTATATATGTTCTAGATGATCAGAATGTAACTGTCTAAGACATTTAAAACTTTAAAGACTTCATCCACAGATTCATCTCTGTAGAAATGAATTAATTCAAACTGTGACAATGAAAAAAAACAGGCTTAAATCCTGACCAAATGAATGTGGAAAGGTAAGTTGCTATGTTAAAATCCTTCTTTTTCATTATGCTACTCCTGAGTAGCTTGATTGCTGTAGCCTTCACTGTGTACTGTATCATATAGGATTTTGTTTTTCAGAGAAGATATATTGAAACGTGACACCTGTGAACAGGTACAACTTGCATAATTGCAAAGCATTGTTACACGTGTGTGTTTTTAAAAAATATGTTAAATTGCAAGAAGAATGGATATTAAAAGCACAGAACTAAAAGACAAACTAAACACCATGTTGTGCTGTATATTAGCAATCAACATTTCAGACATAAATAAAGTGTGACTCTACTTGTCCTTTATTCCTGCGTTATTCAACTGCATGTAATCGTAGCAGTCTAGAAGTATTGAAGGGAAGCAAATCACTGTGCTCTCGGATGCCGTGCTCTTCTAAATAGATCAGTAGAGCTGATGACCTGGTTGATGCAAAACCATTGGTCTTTGTTCATGAAGCTCTTCACAGACTGATGATAAAAGATTTTGGAGGCAGGGTGAATAGCTACCAAGTATAATCAACTGGAAATCAATGGATAGGAGAAGTGGTACAGGTTGGACATCCCTTATCTGAAATTCTGAAATCCAAAACACTCCAAAATCTAAAATTGCCCACAAGGGTGACTGAGATACACCTTTGTTTTCTGAGGTTTCAATATACACAAACTTTGTTTCATGGACAAAATGTTAAAAATAATAATAAAAAATAGTTTCAAGCCATGTGTATAAGGCGGGCATGGGCAAACTTTGGCCCTCCAGGCATTTTGGACTTTAACTCCCACAATTCCTAACAGGTTACCAGCTGTTAGGAATTGTGGGAGTTGAAGTCCAAAACACCTGGAGGGCCAAAGTTTGCCCAGGCCTGGAACAAGGTATAGGTAAAGGTTAAGGTTTCCCCTGACATAAAGTCTAGTTGTCTCTGACTCTGGGGGGTGGTGCTCATCTCCCTTTCTAAGCCAAAGATCCGGCCAGCATGACTGCGTGGAGTGCTATTACCTTCCCGCCAAGGCGGTACCTATTGATCTACTCACATTTGCATGTTTTCAAACTGCTAGGTTGGCAGAAACTGGGCCTAAAAGCAGGAGCTCACTCCATTCTCTGGATTTGAACCACCAACCTTTCAGTCAGCAAGTTCAGTAGCTCAGCAGTATAACCTGCTGCGCCACCAGGGGACCCTTGAATATATGGTATATATATTCTAGGTATATTTGAAACATAAAATGACTTTTTTTCCAATTCGGATTCTATCTCCAAGATACCTCATCATGTAACACATATGCAAATGCAGGTACGGTGTTCCAAAATCCAATATCCAAAACAATTCTGGTCCCAGGCATTTCAAATAGTGGATACTGAACCTGTATGCTTGTAGGATATTCATGATTTGTGAACTGCTTCAACGCCTTGAAGAAAATTGTTAAGAGCACCAGGTAAATAGCTAGGGGCCCAAACTGACACAACAGTGCCAAAATTATTTTATTTTCAGTTCTTCTTGTGTATTATGCCAGCCAGAAAGACTCTTGCACTCACTCAGTGCTCAACAAGCTAATAACAACACATCCTGATGCAGGATCAGGACACAGGCCAGGGTCTGCAAACTTCAAGCCATTTCATTTTTTAATAATCCCATTTTCAGAAGCTACTATGCCACCTGGCATTTTATATGCTGGTTTATGTACCACAAAAGCTATTTGGGCATTGCTGCAACTGGATCATTGAATTTTCTATTGTAACCTAAGATTTGAAAACATATAATACACATTGATGCATACTAATTGCTTCCAGAAATTCAACAGGGAGTATTTATCTAAGTAATTTAGATAAGGACTGTTCAGTCCAAGCCCTTATTAATTACTTTCATTAAAATGTTCCAGGTTGTTTGACAAGAATAAATGAGATGTTAGTAACAACAGAGTGGTGGTGAAACAACATGTAGCTATATTTCATCAATGCAGAGCTAGAGAAGATAATCCTGAAATTCTCATTTTCAGTCTTCACTGCAGTTTACGTTAACACATTCAAGCTCCAGTCCGTGTAAGATCCTCCTTTGAAGCTAATGGTGCAATAATACATGACATAACATTTTGCCATTGGCCTGAAAATTAAAGGAAAGAGTGGGGATTAGTCTGCAGGAAAAATGTCAGTATAAGTGGGGATTGTGTTGTGTGTTGCAGAAACGAATCACAAGTCAAGCTGACAGGTGTAAATTGGAATGATGACCCAAGGCAGCAGCCGGGAGTGGGGAAATTGACAGAAAACTGCAAGTGATTGCTTCACGTAATATTGTTCCTTGCTGCCACAAACTTTCTTGGTATAATTGGGAGCCGGGTTTGTCAGTATTGCTTTTTCTAACTGGAATAGTTTGAGAGTTGTAGTACAGGTGGAGCATCAATAATTCATAACCTCAAAATCTGAAATGTTCCAAAATCGAATATTTTTGTTACCAATTGCCAACTGTGGCACTCCTTATTCATTTGCAAGGCCATTTTAGTGTATTTATTGTTTTTTAACCTTTGTATTGCACTTTTTAAACTTGTCTAGTGTGGAGAGTCTGCCACCTTGAGTCCCCACTGGGAGAAAGGTGAGGTATAAATGATGATTATAATAATGGAAGCAGGTGGTTGGCAGGATCCTTGAAGATCTCCCGTGCAGTAGGACTCTTATATCCTCAATCCTTTAGATCCTCAGTTTTTCTCCAGATGGGTCTCATACATAACACAATCAGTTAACAAATGTGATGCAAAGCTGGACAAGGGAAATTGCAGGAGGCATGGATCAACACCAAGCACTTCACTTGAATACCCACCTTTTCAAGATATTCCAAAATATTTTTTAAATCCTGGCTTTAGCATAGAAGGTTAACCGCCAGCTGCAGTTAATCTTGCCAATTTAAAGACTGACAGTTTGAAACCTGGGTTGGGTGAGCTCCTGGCCTTTAGCCCAGCTTCTGCCTACCTAACAGTTTGAAAGCAAATGTGAGTAGATAAATAGGCACCACTTTAAAGCAGTGAGGTATTTAAGACACCCATAATGAAATGGCAGAAAAATGATGGCATTCAATCAAGGAGGATGTAGATGAACAGAGCTCTTCGGCAGGGAAGATGGAGCGACAGCACACTGGAACATGGTCGTATAGCCCAGAAAACTCACAATAACCCAAAGCTATGACAGTTTAAGTTGTTTTCTCTCTAAAATAAGACTTCTAGCACTAACACAAATACAAATCCCATTTAAATGTGTATGTACATAAAAATGAAATTAATCATAGAACTGTTAAATAATCAAATAATGAGGAGGGAGAGCCTTGGGATCTCCATGTTTGCACCACTAGAGTTCTCCAATGGAGCAGATCCCTAGTTGTTGGAATCTTGGTCTCATCTTTTGCAAATTAGGAGAGGAACAGGAGAGGGCTTGGCTTGGCTTCAAGGCTCTGCTTCTTCTGCCCATGGTGTGTGTGGTTTCTCTATAGCAGGGGTCCTCAAACTTTTTAAACAGAGGGCCAGGTCACAGTCCCTCAAACTGTTGGAGGGCCTGATTATAATTTGAAAAAGGCATGAATGAATTCCTATGCACACTGCACATATCTTATTTCTAGTGCAAAAACACTTAAAAACAATACAATAATTAAAATGAAAAACAATTTTAACAAACTTTCAGTGGGAAGTGTGGGCCTGCTTTTGGCTGATGAGATAGGATTGTTGTTGTTGCTGTGTGCTTTCAAGTCATTTCAGACTTAGGTTGACCCTGAGCGAGGGCCGGGTAAATGACCTTGGAGGGCCGTATCCAGCCCTTGGGCCTTAGTTTGAGGACCCCTGCTCTATAGCATCCCTCCCCAATTCCCTGCCCCATCCTGCCCCCTCAGTAGGATTCATAATACTGTAATAGTACTTTCATACTGTGTGGTGTGAAAGCACCCTGAATCAACTCAGAAAAAAAACATTGTACTTTTCATAAAATATATACCACATTGGGTTGTTATGAGTTTTCCAGGCTGTATGGCCATGTTCCAGATGCATTTTCTCCTGATGTTTCACCTGCATCTATGGCAGGCATCCTCAGAGGTTGTCTCTGAGGATGCCTACCATACATGCAGGCAAAATATCAGAAGAGAATGCTTCTAGCACATGGCCATAAAGCCCAGAAAACTCACAACAACCCAGTGATTCCAGCCATGAAAGCTTTTGACAATATACATATCACATTAATTTATGCAATGAACAGATTTGCTTATGTACAATAGCAGTTACAACACAGTGACTCGTATTTCCCCAGAGGTGATGAGCTAACTTTCTTCTCCAACTAAAAAACAAATATTGTGATACATTTGTTCTGAAATACATTTTGAGCCCAAGTGAAGGTTTCACTTTTCACCTTTGAAACATGGCATCATCTGGACACCAAGAACCTTGTGGAGCTCCTTGTTCAAATGGAGCCCTCAGGCTTTTTGATATTTATTCATGATTCACTTGTCACAGGGAGCTCACAGTGGGCTCCTATCCAAGGATAATCAACAGCTGTTTCGTTTCTACAAAGTTATGGCCCCAGTTTTAAAACATTTATAGTGCAGTGGGATTTTAAAGTCTGCCAAACAGGCTATGTTAGCTAGGTCTCACTTTAACAAGTATGTGAGGAAGAAGGGAAAAAGACAAACATTCACACATTCATATATGCAGGTAGCGAGAAAGAAAAGAATATTCACTCCTCCTGCAGCCCCCTATGCTATGTTGTACATCATTCCTAGTGGTGCACCAAGTGTGAGAGCAAATTTTCCAGGAATGGCAAAAACAATGGGGAAAGTCAGAAGCCCCATTTTTGTGAGTAGAATGCTCCCCCCCCCCCCCACTTTGTAGAAAGGAAAATAGGATCCAGGTTTTAGTCTTGTCTGTTGCTGGTATATTATGATGCTGGTGTACCATGGTACAGCCATTACATGAATAATTAAACTATCTTTCATGGGAAGATTATGGATTGGGTAAATGCAGATGAAAATATGGAACTAACGACCTCATTAGGCAGGGGAAGAATCGGTGGCATGCTCCATTTGGCTGCCTCTTTAAGCACAGAGCCTGCTGGTTCCCATTACGCAACAGACAACTACTCTGTGCTTAATGGGGTGGTGATGGAAGGCTTCCTGTGTTCCTCCAGGAACAATGGGGAGAAACTAGACAGTTAATGCATCCCACTGTGGGATGCTCATCTGGGTGAGTCAGGTGATGTGGTCATGAGGCAATGGGCTCCCCATGCCTGCCAGCGTGCATCGCTGGAATTGCCACAATGTGTGGCAATTCCAGCAGCCTTTATGATGAAG